AGGTTGATATTCTGTGATGTAACACCAGTAAACAGAGGTTGATATTCTGTGATGTAACACCATTAAACAGAGGTTGATATTCTATGATGTAAGACAAGTAAACAGAGGTTGATATTCTGTGATGTAACACCAGTAAACAGAAGTTGATATTCTGTGATGTAACACCAGTAAACAGAGTTTGATATTATGTGATGTAACACCAGTAAACAGAGGCTGATAGTCTGTGATGTAACACCAGTAAACAGAGGGTGATTTTCTGTGATGTAACACCAGTAAACAGAGGTTGATATCATGTGATGTAACACCAGTAAACAGAGGTTGATAGGCTGTGATGTAACACCAGTAAACAGAGGTTGATTTTCTGTGATGTAACACCAGTAAACCGAGGTTGATTTTCTGTGATGTAACACCAGTAAACAGAGGTTGATATTATGTGATGTAACACCAGTAAACAGAGGTTGATAGTCTGTGATGTAACACCAGTAAACAGAGGTTGATTTTCTGTGATGTAACACCAGTAAACAGAGGTTGATATTCTGTGATGTAACACCAGTAAACAGATGTTGATATTCTGTGATGTAACAGCAGTATACAGAGGTTGTATACTGTGATGTAACACCAGTAAACAGAGGTTGATATTCTGTGATGTAAGACCAGTAAACAGAGGTTGATATTCTGTGATATAACACCAGTAAACAGAGGTTGATATTATGTGATGCAACACCAGTAAACAGAGGTTGATATTCTGTGATGTTACATACACCAGTAAACAGAGATTGATATTCTGTGATGTAACAGCAGTAAACAGATGTTGATGTTATGTGTTGTAACACCAGTAAACAGAGGTTGATATTCTGTGATATCACACCAGTAAACAGAGGTTGATATTCTGTGATGTAACACCAGTAAACAGAGGTTGATATTCTGTGATGTTACATACACCAGTAAACAGAGGTTGATATTCTGTGATGTAACAGCAGTAAACAGAGGTTGATGTTATGTGTTGTAACACCAGTAAACAGAGGTTGATATTCTGTGATGTAACACCAGTAAACAGAGGTTGATATTATGTGATGTAACACCAGTAAACAGAAGTTGATATTCTGTGATGTAACACCAGTAAACAGAGGTTGATATCATGTGATGTACCACGAGTAAACAGAGGTTGATATTCTGTGATGTAAGACAAGTAAACAGAGGTTGATATTCTGTGATGTAACAGCAGTAAACAAAGGTAGATATTCTGTGATGTAACACCAGTAAACAGAGGTTGATATTCTGTGATGTAACACCAGTAAACAAAAGTTGATATTCTGTGATGTAACAACAGTAAACAGAGGTTGATATTATGTGATGTAACACCAGTAAACAGAGGTTGATA